CTTGTGTAAGCAGTCTTGCGAATGTTGATCTACTTGATGTTGCTAGAAATATCATGGGATTAAATCCTGAAACAACCCTAGGTAAATATGTTTCTATCTTTTCTTTTTTCTTTGAAATTTGACTTAAGAGACTGGGGGTTCATGTAGTATGTCATATTGTTGGATTTTTTATTTATTTATGTAGTTGTGGTTGTTTCAAAGATATTTACGACTGCTGAAACCTTGTTGAATGCCCATACACTCAGAGAATGAATTTCATCAGCTCTAGGGTAAGTTAAATATTATAGCTATTCATTAAAGAATAGTAGTATAAAGATTGTTCTGGTGTCTATTGTTTCTTTCCATTTTATGCAGAGACTTGCAGAATAGAATCTTGGACTTTTACCTTTTAGACTTTAGCATTATATTAATTATGCCCCTATCGGCCTATTGGCTTCTTCAAAACATATTTGTAGTTTTTATATAAAAAGGATATACTAAATGGAATTGACAGTGGTATGAACAATGGCTTACAATTCCATTTTGCCTTCAGGCCCTCAGCACTAATCTCACGGTATAGCCACATGTTTTTTGTGTCAAGCTTTGTTAAAAATTCTTTGTATGGTTTCTATGTGTATGCATATATCAATTATTTAAGGCTGAGCCAATAGTTGTCTTTTTCTATCATCTTAATTTCTGATGCAACTTGTGGAAAAGTTTGGCATTGATCCTAATAATGCTTTTGCATTTTGGGACTGGGTTGGTGGCCGATATAGTGGTGAGATTTTTTCTTTAACATGAGTAGTAATTTGAATTATTGAAGATATGTGATTTTGACTATTATCTTTGCTTATAGTCTGCAGTGCTGTTGGAGTCTGTAAGAACCCGCACCGTTAATTAAGGAATTTAATTAATAAATTATGAAAAAATAAGAAATGATTCCATAATTGACCCTAATAATTATTATGAGGCTTTAATAATTATAGTAAGTGATTAATAATGCTGAAAGTCGCTTTTCGGAAGAAAAGTGCAGATACCGGTTCTGCTAGTCGGTATAAATGCGTACCAAAAAATTATCCCGGAAAATTATAATAAGTGCATGATAATTACTAGAATAGTATGTGGGACTTGTAAAACGAGTTTCAAGTCAAAATAATGAGAACTAGTGCTAGAAACTAGTACTGGCTTTGAAAAGCGCGTACCGAAAAGGTGCTCCGAAAATTATAAGAAAAATATGATAATTCTTGTAAAAATGTGTAGTTTCAGATTCTAAAGTTTGGGATTAAAATGCTAAGCGTAGCAATTAAAGTTAATATTGTGTGTTAGAAACTTAACCGCCTATATAAGCCTTATGTGAGGGCACAAAACCCTAGAAAACAGACTCCTATGCGTGGAGGGTGGCTGACCAGATTTTCCAAACACTTTTTTTGACTTCTCTTCTCCATTCTTGAGGTTTGAAGCCATTTCCTTTCAATTCTCTTCTCTTAAACACTTGGTGTGAGGGAGAGTGACCTTGGGAGAGTGTTGGAGGCCTTGTTTCTGAGTGTTGGGGGGGCTGTTTTGTGGTTGTGAAGGGGCTGAGTTGGTGGTTTGTGGTGTTGGAGCTTTCTCATTGGCTTGTGAGCTTCAAAGTGTCAACCTTTGTGAAGAAAGGACCCTTCTTGATGTACATTTTCGTGCACAGTGTTGAGACAGAACCATTAAGAGTTTCTTGTGAGCTCCAAGAGCCTTCATTTTTGAGTTTGAGCTTGGGTAAGCTTCATCACCTTTGATCCTGAGTCTTTGAGCTTAAAAATGGAACCTTGATGCATGTAAAGGTTAAAAGATGATAACTTAATGTTGAGGTTGGTCAAACACACCTAGATTTGCATGTTTAAGTGTCTAGAATCAGTAAAAACCCAACCTTGGAAGGATATCTTCACGAAATGCAGTTTCTGCATTCTGTCGTGAAATATCCGGATATGTGATATCCGGATATGAGATTTGGATATCCGGATATTGGATATCCGGATATTGGATATCCGGATATGTACAGTGAGATATCCGGATATGCAATATCCGGATATGGTCCCGAGGAATATCCAGATATTCTGGGATTTCGTAGAACAGTAGCTGTGCTGTGTGTACAGTAGGCTATTGTGGGTTTGTGGACCCTAGATTGATGAAGTTGAACTTCTGTAATTAATGAACTAAGTCAGAATCAAGGGACTAAGGGCTTATGGCTTGGTATGGAGCCTTAAGACGTAAAACGTAAAGGAAAGACGTTGTCTTTAAATTTTATGCTTGTGGTGCATTATTATTGATATAGTATTGATTCATAACAGATTGTGAATCTGCTGTGTTTGGACTTTGAGCTGTGGACTCTTGGCCTTGGGTGTTATCTTGCAAGGTAAGCTTTCGTGTCCTCGGTTTAGCCATGTTATGGTTCCACCATGTCCCTTGGGGGTGTGGTTATATGTATGTTGTGTTACATGCTTTGAATATTTGAAATGTTGTTGAGCTTTATGTGTAATGGCTTTTAATATGCATGTGTTGTTTCATCTTGACGGTAAGCCTGAGTATGTGGCGACATACAATATGGTGATCCGGGGTGAATGCAAGTGGCGTCTTGCACTAGTGTGGGTATTTGGCGTATATAAATCTTGCATTTCTCTGGCCAGTAGAATAGAATTGTCACTCATGACATGATTATCTGCTGCATTGCACTATTTTAGAAATGATATTGATGAACTGCTTTTAAACTTATATTGCACATGTAAGTGAGCTTGGGGTGGAAGATCCTTGAGGACCTCTTGCCTTACTGAGATTTCTTGTTTAGAGATCTCACCCCACGTTTAGGGAATGCTTATTTCAGGTTCAGGTAGTATGGTGACTGATGCCTCTGGCGGCAGGAGGCCAGAGCTTAGCTGATTATGATATTTTGCTGTATTGCTGCCATGACTGGATTTGGATGCTGTTTATGTTTCCGCTATTTAGGATTATGTTGTTATTAAGACTGATGTTGGACATGTTTCCTTATTTGAGTGAGCATGGGGATTGTCCATGACATTTTTGTTAGTACTTTTAGATTGGAGTTGTATAAACTGTTAGATGGTCCGGTCTACGTTGTTGTAGTTCCGTGACTAGAGCCACACTTTTATTATCTATGTTATGAGGTATTTCAGTTAGCTGTTTTATTGCAATTACATACAGGCGATGTTTTATTAATTGATTAATAAGCAAGTTGGTAATGATAATGACATCATAATTGAAAAGAAAAAGATATTCCACATTTTTAATTAAGCGCCGCTTAATACGATAGTATGATAACATTACCGGATATATACGAGGTGTTACAGAGTCTTGCCTTTATCCCTACAATACAGGTTCTCAATAATTTAAAAGAATGTGATTTATTATTGATATGATTCTACTGCAGGCACTTCTTTAGAATTAATTGTCTTAGCTGTAGCTTAATCCATTCTAGTTTGTCTTGATATCTCTTATTGCCTAATGCATTCTGGTAAGCATTACATTAGCCATTTTGTTATGCTTCGTTCCTAATTATGAATTAAAAAAGTCTTGTTGGATTTCCCAGGACAACAAACCACCTAAGAGTAACAAAGTCTTGTTGGATGTTCCATGTTCTTTCCAAGGTGATTTTTTTAAATATTTTATTTTACAATTTATCACTTTTTTTAACAAAATTAAGTGCATCAAATTTCAATGTATTTCCCTTTTCTTGTTTGTATTTCCCTTTTTCGTCTGCTGCTGCAGGTGTAGTTTCTAGTGCTTATGAGATTATGTAGACTGGAGGAGACTGGTTTTTAATCACTTAAGTTACTAATGTTGTGATTATCAAGTTGGAGTTTTCCTCCCTAATTAAAGTTATTTTGCTAACGTGATAATCACTTTATTTTGAAGGCTAATTTTATTTAGATTATAATAAAGTAAAAGTTATGGATCCTATTTCGATTGATGAGAAAAAGTTGACTGCATGAGGTTTGGTTTTACTAGTTCAACAATTGAATAATATCATCAAATTAAAAAAATAGCCACATTAAAAATAATAGTACATTAGCCACGGTTAAGTCGTGCCTAAATAAGGATATCAAATTTTCTTTTACAAAAAATAGCTACGGACTTTTGCGTGGCTAAATAATTATGACCGTGTTTAGGGTTTGGGGGTTAGGGTTTGGGGTTTATGGTTTAAGGGTTAGGGGTAAAGGTTTAGGGGGTTAGGGTTTAGGGGTTAGGGTTAGGGTTTAAGGGGTTAGGGGGTGTTAGGGGTTTAGGGTTTAGGGTTTAGGGTTAGGGTTAGGGGTTCAGGGTTTACAATTGGATGATGCTTTTGGTTAGGTGTGTAAATAGATTAGGCTAAGCTTTGGCTTAAACAGGCCAGGCCTATATAAAACACATTGGGTTTGGCCTGACCTGTGTAGGCCCCAAATTACATGTTTGGCCTGATTTGCATTTAAAAAATAAAAAACTTGGCCTGTTAAATATTTAACAATTAAAAAAGTAACAAAAATAATATTACTTTATTATTTAAAATTATTAAAATAATAATTTTATTTATTTTTTTAAAATAAATAATATGATGTAGGCCGGTCTATAAGCTTATAGGCCCGTCATATACAAAAAAACATATGGCCTATTTTTTAAATAGATTTTTTAAAAGCTAGGCCTGTTTTATTTTATTATTTGTAATAGGTCAAATCTGGCCTGATATAGGCTGAGTGAAACCAAAATGTACCACTTTTTAACTCCATATCCTGTTCTGTTATATTTTTGAAATGTACCAACTAATAAAACACAATAATTTCTTAACACGTTTATTTAGCATTTTTAATAAATTTTACCCATTTTGGATGGAACTAACTACAAGTTAATCAATTTTGTGGGTCTTATTCAAGTACAACATATGAATCCATAACAGGAGCTAGTCAGCACTAGCCTACTTAGACATGGGCCAGTCCATGAATTCAGCCCACAATTTGACCCATTAAGGTCGACAGTCATTCATTTTTGGTTCAACTTGAAATGCCTCTAAAATCTAAATGACTCTTCTCTCTGTAACTACTGCTTCCACCACCTCCAACCCAAATTTCCACAACCATCTTTTGTTTCTCTCATTCTCCACTCTCTCTCGTTCTTCCACTTCCTCCATCTCCTTCCCAACCCATTCTCACCGTGTATTTCAACCTCTCTCTTCTACCTCCACCGTGCTCCGTCTTGCCAGTTGCCGCGCCGCCACCCCCGGCCCTCCACCACCACCCCGGACTGACCCACCTTCAGGAAACGATTCAAGCCACCTTAAAGGTTCCAACTTTCGATTGTTTTCGTGCTTTAATTGCATAATTTAGGTTTCATTGATATTTTTAGCTTAAAATTATTTATTTTTTGTTTTATATATGTCCTGTTCTTTCTGAGAATAAGTGTTTGACTCATAAAGGGTTGGTTGGACAATAATTTTCTGTTATGGAAGTTAATAACTAATTATCTAAATCCTTAGGAAATTGTTTGAAATGAAGTATGGTCTGTTGTAGCATTGTATTATGTAGGACATGGTTAGTTTTGGATTCCTATCTTGTAGAAGCCACTCTATGTTTTGCCAACTATATTTGTATTTTTTTGAGTGTTGATCTTTGTTCCATTGCATTTTCAGTCTAGACTCTGGACACACATACTAAGTGCGTTACTCAATGTTTAAAATTGCCGTAAAGCAAGTATTGTTAGGCATAATGGTGCCCATATTTTGTGATATCAAATTTCTCACATGCTGATATGGCCGATTTCTATGATTTATGTTTTGATTTGGCGTTTATGCTTCTATAGTGAAGGTTCAGCTTTTGGTATTGACAAAATTTTTTGGATTTTTCTTTTGGGGAGGAGCAGATCTTGCTGCATCTTTATCCAAAATTCAAGATAGAGTACAGATCTTCTTTGCTGTTCTTTTCTGGATGTCTCTATTCTTTTGGGCTTCTGCCTGGGATGGGAGGAATAGACCGAACAAGGGATCAAGATTTAGAAGATAAAATAGTAAGCATTTAATTTGTATATATCAAATTATAACTTGGAGGACAGAATTATACAGCAACAGAAAAAAAATGATGCATATGTGTCGAATGAATATGTAAATTTTATGCTTGAAAATATTCTGCTTACTTCGATTCCTCCAGTCAGAGGTAACTTATGAGTGATCTCCTTTTCCTTATTTATGCTGCAATGGTGACGAAATGTTTAATTTGAAATTATATTCAAATTCTAAATGTCTTGGATTAGTACTTAAGTTTGGATTAGTACCTAAAATTTCCACACGTGCCTTGGCTGGAGGCGGTGTCACCGTCCTTTCTTTCTCCATGGCAAAAGCATCCTGAATCCTCTTTGGCGTGGTTGTCGATACCTATGTAACACCGATACTCACACGTGACACGATACGACACGATACGACACTCCGACACGTTAATTCTAAAAAATATTAGGTTTCGACACGTTAGGACACGTTTTGATTTTAAATAATACTTTTAATTTATGTAGTATATATTATATTTAATATTCAATAATTTAACAAAAAATATATCTTAGCTTATAATATTCATAAATTTTACAAAGAAACATAAGATATCCCAAATATTTATATTAAACTCAATAAAATGGTAATCGTAATCCAACGAGACAAATAGTTGGAACTAAAAACTAAACGCAACTTAACCTTTGAACCTTTTTTTGAATTTCTATAACACGTCTTGGAGTGTCGGAGTGTCGGAGTGTCCGAGAGTGTCGGCAAGTGTCGGATACGACACATTAGGGTTTTTGAAGTGTCGGTGCTTCATAGGTCGATATTCTGGGTTTTCTTTTCCAATTCCATGTAGTGATTTCTAACTCATTTTTGGCTCTGAACTGGATTGTTCGCCATTTTAGGTTCGTCGTAACCCATCAATCTATTAGGGTTTCCTTGATCCTTTACTTCTATTTGTCGATTTGATTCGTGGTCTAGTGTTTCTTGTTGTGGCTGTGGTTTGATTAAATTTGGTAATCTAGATTTAATCTTGTAATAATCAATCTCAGATGGGGATCCCCTTACGTGCGTAAACGGTTTTTTTTTTCTTTTTTATTTTTCAAGTTCATAGAGTTCTGCAAAAATGTGATGATTGCTGCATTACATATGTTTTGCCTTTTCTTTTTAGATTTTTTTACCTTATGATAGTATAGGTTTCTTCCAGTACTGTGTTCGCGCTGATAAGTCTATGAAATGAGACTTGAAACATATGGTTTAATGTGCAAATGGAAAGAAAAGAATACTTTTTGTGTTATTAAAACCCCCAAATTTATGTTGAATTGAGATTTATTGATTAAGTGTTAATGGGCTGCAAAATTTTATTTTTGAGGCCCATTTCCACCTTCAAATCAGAGAAGTCAGACAGAAAAGAAAAGCAAGTGAAAAAGAAAGAAAAGAAATAAAAGAAGAAAACAAAAGAAAGGAGAAAAAGAAATGGGCCAAGCAAATCAAATGAGACAAGCCCAAGTGAAGAAAAGCAAAGAAAGAAATTGGAAGAAAGAAAAAAAATCAGAAGCGTGAAACAAAAGCTGAGAAAAGGAAACCCTAGCACCCACCATTCGACCAAACCCATCTCAGCCAAACCCTCACCTCAAACCGATTTAACCTGAAATCCTTCCACAAATCGAACCACAAAGTCAGACCGTGCCGTGAATTTGGTTCAGTCATCAAGTTTTAACCCCACCCACGGTTCATTAAGTGAAGAATCAAACCCTAGCCACTCTTTCTTTATACCGAAAATGCCAAACAAAACCCTTAACTGAGTGGGTGAGCTGGAATCTGTTGTGAGTGGGGGCTAAAACAACTTTTGGAGTGTGGGAGCAATTTGTGCACAAAAATCGCACGGTTGAGAGGAGCCACGTGGAAGATGATCCAAGGGTTTCAGAGCTATTGCATGCAGTGGAGCTGATATAAAAGGAGCAAGGGACCTTCTGCTGTAACATTTCTTCTTCTCCATTTTTCTTTATTTTTTATTTTTGTATTTTCTTGTACTGTAAATAGATGCTGCTTTGTTTTGAACTTGTCAGCAAGGAAGCACAGACACTTGTAAAAACAGGAAGAGTCGGGTCCGACACGCTCCGACACGGCGACACGCTCCGACACGTTCCGACACGGTGTCGGACACGCGGTTGACTTTTTCTGACACGTTGACCATTCCGACACGCGAATTTGACCGTGTCCGACACGGTCAAATGGCATTTTCGTAATTTTTTTTTAATTTTTTTTTTAAAAAATTGATTTTTTTTTAAAAGTTAAAATATATTAATAAAGCTTCCACCTGATCATATCAATTTTATCTTTTTGTCTTTTTTCCCCTTAAGTAGATAAGAGATCATCTCAGCATCATTGTTGTCAATTCCTATCACGCTCTTGTTGTATTTTCTTCTCTCGGATCTCTCTCTAATATGATTTGATCTCTCTATATGATATTATATCCCTCTCTCATCCCAGTTCTTATTTTTTTATTAAAGCTTCCATCTTTATAACGTGTTGATGGGTATTATTAATTTAGTTTCATTTTTTTGTTAAATTATTAAATATTAAATGAAATATACACTATATAAATTAAAAATATTATTTAATATTAAAACGTGGCCCAACGTGTCGAAATTCATAATTTTTTAAGATTGACGTGTCGGAGTGTCGTGTCACGTGTCGCGTGTCGTACCGGTGCTACATAGCTTGTCAGCACAGTACCGAGGCTATTCTGTTGAATAGGACTCGGGCTGTGTTTTATGTTTTCTGCCCTGTAGTTCTTCTGTAAATTTTCATTTTCATTTTCATTTTCATTATGTTGTTTTTGTAGCTCAACCATTATGGGTATGAGCTAAACTTTTTAAGGTTGAGTCTAGGTACCCGAACCTCAGTTATGGATGTTTGTTAATTGTTTTTGTTAAACTTTGATTTCCAGTTGTTTAATACCATACTCTTTAATTAAATATTCTGTCATTGAGGCCTGATGATAGATATTATGTTAGGAATTAGTCATCGAGAGGTGACAAATTCTGGAAATGTATTAAGCACATGGACTTGATTGTGAGAGCATTCAAGGGCTGTCACTCAGAGATGAGGACAGCCACCATGTAATTTTTGGACTTGAAATGTATGAGTCCTTGCTTCATTTAGCACAGAGATGTGTAAATGTTTGTTTAGGATAAAATGATTGTAAGAGATTAAAATTCAACAAGAAGTGATCCGTTAACTGAGAATTAATTTTTAGTAATCTGTAATTAACTTTCATTCCATTGCTGTGGGGAAAGGTAACCAAAGTTCAACCTGTTTTTACAACCTACTTCTCACAAACTCAGATTTTTTGCCCTTTGATTTCTAATATTTCAATCATAGTTCTGTTTGTAATTTCTTTATATAAAAAATCTTTTTACATCAAATACCCAATATGTTTGGCTTTTTGACCCTTTTGCCCCTCATTAATTAATAACCAATTTGCCCCTGATCAAGAACTATCCACCAACCTGCCCCCTTTTAGTCGACTACCTTGCTGTTTTAGTCGAGCAAATGGTCAATCTTCAGAAAGTGGACTACCGCAAATTTAGTCGACTAAAAAATCATCTTAATCGACTACATTTTTGGGATATTTAGTCGACTAAGTATCGATATTTAGTCGACTAAATGTCGACTGAAACCCTATATTTTCCATGTTTTCGGTCTCATTTCGATTGTTGTTGTTGTGTAAACCTAAATAGCTCCCTTTGTTCATGTGTAATCCTCTCAATCCGATTGTATTTCATCCCACCATCTCTACAGACCTAATATTGTGAAATCATTGTCATTGCCCAATTCCAAACCCCAAAATCCGAACCCAAACCCCCAATTTCAGAACCCAAGTCCCAATTTCGTGAGGAAGATGAGCACAAGTCCAAACATGTATGTGACAATGATCTACTATGATGGAAAGCATTATGAAGGCCCCAATGGTGTTCAATTTGAAGGAAAAACGAAAATGTTGAAAATCAAACGGGGCACTACATACAATGAGTTAAATGAGAGAATTCAGCAAAAATTGGGTTTGCAAGGCAGCCAATGCGTTCAACGGATGATTGCCAGGGTAGAGACAATAGTTGGTAAGGATGCTATTTACTACATTGGTAACGATATATGTGATGATGAAGATGTCGAATGTGTCATAGATGCAATTGTTGACCGAAAATTTCAAAATTTTATTGAGATATATGTTGAATTAGATTGTGGTCAATCTTCATCTGCACCCATGCATACAAGAAGTGAACCGTATTTTGGTCATGAAGAAAGAGTAGTCGATTTATCTGCACCTGCACATGTCATAAGTCAGATAACACTGCGGGAAATAGATGAGGATGAACAGGATGCCGATATGGACAGCGATGAGGACGGTGAACCTGAGAGTGTTATTCCACTAGGTGACACGTCAGATACTGACGTAGAGGGTGATTTCGACGCTGACACAAGCTCACCATCCCCGGGTTCGCAGGTTACGAGACCACTTCGTGTTGACCTTGTTAGCAGTGGTAAGATTTGTTTTTTAAAGATTTAATTTAGCAATTATTTTTTTTGTTATGAATGGTATTGACGGTGGCATTATAATGCATCCGTAGGTTCTGAGGTCGAGCCATTTTGGAATGAAAGCTCACATTATACCTTCATTAATTGGGCCCACCCTAATGATGAGACGGAGATATTGTATGGTGACGATGATGATCACGGTGGCTGGCAATTAGGGGATCCTTTATATTTGTATCAGGAGTTTCGTAGCAAATCTGAAATGCAACATGCAGTCAAATTATATTGTATGAAGGCTCACCGTACTGCCGTTGTGGCAAAAAGTGATGACCATAGATTTGTGATGAAGTGTCGACACCATAATGATGGATGTCCCTGGTATGTGAGGGCATTGTTGCCGAAGAATGGAAATACTTGGGTGGTTAGTAAATGGGTTAAAGAACACACCTGCCTAAACCAAGGTCTTAACCGGGATCATAGACAGTTGGATTCTGATGTGATATGTGCAACCATTATCAGTATGTATTATTCGATATATCTAACTTCCTAAGGTATGTTAACGTTAATCAGTTTGTATTCTGACTGTTGGCCGGTGTTTTTTTTAATATAGGTATGTTAAAAGAAGATCCATCATTGAAGCCAGTTCTTATTCAAGAGAGGGTACAACGTTTGTATGGATACAACATATCTTACAGGAAAGCTTGGAAGGCTAAAATGAAAGCCATTGTGCCAGCGCCATCTTTCCTATCTTCTTTGTCATTGCATTTATGCCCTTCATGACATCACGCAGTGAAAATCCACCTTCAGGTTCAGCTATCTCCTCAACCTCAGCCACATCCTCCTCCTTCTCCTCCTCCTCCTCCTCCACATCTGGCTCAACAATATGGTCATCTGGGGCAACATAAGGAACCTCAACCTGGGGCATACCACTAAACTCCCACACACCCGATCTCGTGTTCTTAGTAATCTTGCACTGCTCCAATAGACGCTTTCCGAACTTGCAATTATAGCCCGTGGTCTTCTTCAACAGCTCAGTCTCCATGGGAACACCAAAGTGAACCAATATCCTCTGTACCAGACAGGCGTATGGAAGATGACCCTTATGTTTGGCCTTAAACATAAACCAACAGATATAGTGCCTCCAGTTCACCATCTGGGCATGTCGGATAGCCCACATAATGGGAATGTCATGTTCCAACACCCTGGAATGATTAAAAGATCGCGGAAACAGAACGTGGGTGAGGACATAGTGTAGTATACGGGACTCCACAGAAAGCAACCCCACCGTATAGTGCAAGTGTTCCCCACGGACTCTTCTCTGCTCCTGCACGGCATCCTCTCGTACATATCCTGGAAGTACTACACCACTATCAGCGTCATACACCACAGTCTGAGAAGAGTCAAAATCATAGCCGAGTATCTCCAACCATGCAGGTGCCGTCATGATGATCTCTATTCCACAGACCCTCGACCTCAGCTCGCCCTGTACGTAGCTGAGGTTATGGTAGAAGGCCCGCACCATAAGCTCTGAATACGGACATAGGGTCTCGGCCAACACCCTCAGATGTGCCGCCTCCAACACCCCCACAATTTCAAATCCCTCCTTATCAAAAAAGGCTGTATCCAAAGATTTTGGAGCACATAACGGCCGGTTCAAATGGTCACGTACGAATGAAGCGTGGACGGCAGGGTCGTCCTCAAACAGATACCCATACGGGAGGTCAACAGTATCAGGCTCTTCGTCTTGTCGCCTTGACGAAGAAGGCCGCTCTTGCCTATGCTTGGTGCGTCTCTCAAGTGACTCATTGCCCTCATCGCTTGGTCTTCTGCGGCTCGTCATTTGTTTAGGGTACCTACAATGAAACATGTCAGCATTTAACTATATGAAACATGTCATGATGGTAATGAAAACTTGCAACATAAGCGCTGTAAACCAAAAGCAAACTTTTGCCCCATACAAACTTTTCAAACAAAAAAATTCACACAATGCAAAAAAATAAACCTTAGTAGATTAGGGTTACAAAACCTACAACAAACGCTTTGATTAGAGTTCACAAATTCGGACAACAAACAAATACAAAAAATTCCTAAACCTAAAACACAATGCAAGTTAAGAAACCTTACCTATCCTTCAGATTTCACGATTTGGACCAAATTTGGGGGCAATCCACACGCCTAAAGGAAGGGTTTGGGGCGTTCTTCAGCTGCTCCTGCGGATTTGGGGTTTGGGCCGCCTCCTTAGTCGATTAGGTCATCTTACTCCCCCTCTGCCGAATGGGGGGTTTTTAAAAAACAAATCCGTCGATATTTAGTCGACTAAATATCGATACTTAGTCGACTAAATATCCCAAAAATGTAGTCGATTAAGATGATTTTTTAGTCGACTAAATTTGCGGTAGTCCACTTTCTGAAGATTGACCATTTGCTCGACTAAAACAACAAGGTAGTCGACTAAAAGGGGGCAGGTTGGTGGATAGTTCTTGATCAGGGGCAAATTGGTTATTAATTAATTAATGAGGGGCAAAAGGATCAAAAAGCCCAATATGTTTTCCCTTCTATTTTTCATCCTTTAGCTCAAGAAATTAATTTAGAAAATTATAAAAAAATAGAGTAATGTGGTTAGTACTATTTTAGATTAGTTTTGCTTTTATTTTATTTTTACTCTCTTTCTAGATTAGATTCAGTTTTAGCAATTGCAAATTTTAGTCAAGTTACAAACGCCAAAGATCCTTGTGGGAATGATATTAGGGTCTTAAATACGCCCTATATTACTTGTTGTCGCGTATACTTGCGCGCTCACTTGCATAACTGTTAGCAAGGCAACATGCGGCACTAATCAAATTGTTGACTTTTTATTTACGTTGGAATGAATTTATTTTTGACATTTAATACGCACAAGTCATCAGGGTATTTGGTTTGTAACCTGATTACAGGGGTCTGGTACGGGCGAAGTGCTAGCTGATGGTGGAGTCCCAGAAACATTTTTGACTTATATGAAGAATAATGAAGCTACAGGCACATATTCCGGGGCAGATATCAGGACAGGTACCTAATCAAGCAGGGTCTCAGTTGCCTGGACTGACCCAAGTTGGGAATGCCATCCCTCCTCAGATGCCAACTTTAGGTGGTATACAACGTTCAACAATTAATATGGATCCTGAATTTCTAAGAGCACGTTCATTTATTCAAGAAAAGATGTAAGATGTTTTTTTATTTGTATAATCACATTCGTTAAGGGGTAACTTGACTATTTTGTCAGTAGGTTAATTAGTGGAGATGGATATTTTTCTTAAAGTTGACTACCGACATACAAGTGTAAACTTAATTGTGAAAGCCAGTATATGTTATAGATAAGTTCATAAACGAAATAAGTTGTTGGATTTATCTAAATAAAAAAGGGAAAGGAAAATCATTTTTTGGACAATATCATTATTATATATTCCTTCTTATGTGCCAATTAATGATTTGTGGCTCGTTTGTATTGCCTAATTGAATATTTAGGCTAAGATGTAATAATTTGATCAGTTTCAGAATTTTATTTAGATTGCAATAATTTGCTCTGTTTGCAAAGTATTTGCAATTTGCTGAGTCATGGTTCTTTGTCCTCCACTATATAGTTTATGGCTTAACTTTGCTTTGACTAGGTCATTCTATCGATATGGGATCCCTGCAGTGTAGATGCCATTAAGTGAACTAGATTAATGTCTCTGTATCTAATAGTATTATGTGCCTATTGCCCCACCTGTAATATTTTTTGACTTAAAAATAGTATAATATGCACATAAGATTAACTTATGATAATCTTTTTTCGTTCATGTCAATTTTACTTAACAGCAATAAATATTTTATTTTTTACCTTCCAGCTGGGATATGTTATTGCAACGACAACCGCAGCCAGTTACAGAAGTACAGAGAAGGAAGTATAAGGATCTTGCAAAACGCCTAGAGGAGGCCATGTTGAAAGCTGCTCTCTCTAAGGTTTTTTTTTTTTATCTTGGGCCTCTAGCTAGTTTTCTTTTCCGATATTTGGAGGGATCCAAATCTTCTGTTATTTTAAATACTCAAGATTTCTGATTCTGGAAGTAATAACATGGAACCTTCTACCACCTCTTTTATTTTAAATAATATTTTTGTGTTGACTATGTTTTGGACTTTCCTTTTAGGAGGATTACATGAATTTGGAAACCCTAGAGAGTCGTTTATCTAATGTCATCAAACGAGCATCTATGAATAATCACAACCAACAGTATCCGCAGCTTGTTAGCTCTTCTCCAATTGGTACAATGATACCAACCCCTGGTATGTCGCATGTTCCAAATTCAAACATGGTGGTTGCATCGTCTATGGATGCCTCAATGATTTCTGGCAGTGGTTGTAATAGCATAGTATCAACATCTTTCAATAGTGTAAGCATGTTACCAGCTGGTGGCATGCTTGGCAATTCCTTAAATAGATCTGATGGTAATATTAGATGTTATAATTCT